AGAACTGGAATGTAATTTATCTGTAAATCGGTTAATGAAATGTTTGAATAGCTGATGAGTGTGTGTGGGGAGTCACTTTGCTACAGCAGTAAATACTGTGAGGGTTATCATTTGGGTTTGTTCTTTAAATACCCAAAAGTAATGATGAGAAATAATAGTTTTCAGGCTTTCTTTAACTTGCTTATGTACAGATGTACCGTTTTCTGGAAAAGATAGGTTTTGGAATGGTTGTGGAAGGGTATCTGGAAGTAGTTCTCTGGCTGGTTTTGGTTTCAGGGAGCTGGAGTAAGGCAGGTTTCATGAGTGTTCAGCCAGGTGACTAGCAGATGTTAGTAGCCTTATTAGTACTTGGGGAGGGCATTTATGTCTGAGAACAAACAAAACATGGTCATTCATCCCAAAATTCCTGTGATATTGGGTGTGTTTTTGTTGTCAGCAGTCGTGAGGCTGAAGTCTGTTAGCTGTTGTTTTCCTGCACAGTAGTGACTCCTGACACTCAGTTGTCTTTAGGTACTGGATGTAATCAGTCTTCTTCCCCTAAAAAAGAGTATTATTTCTTGTTATTCCAGATGAATGTGTCTTACATGTGAACTTTCTCTTTTTACAGTGCTGTAGGTAAAACATGCCTACTCATCAGTTACACAACCAATGCATTTCCTGGAGAGTATATACCCACTGTGTAAGTACTTATAAAATCCAACTAACTCATTTCTGCCAACTTCTCAGTGCTTACTGCCATTCCACATTCCTTGTCTGGATTGTTGGAATTGGCTGCAAGTGCCCCCCAGTTTCATCTTGGGTGTTAGCTGAGTGTCAGGGCTGTGTAAGAAGCACTTTGGGCCTTACTGCTTAGCACAGTCACACCAGTGCTTGTTCCTGCTCCATCACTTTGGGCTCTCTCTGGCCCTGGCTGATGAGGGACTAAGGTTTGCTAGCATTTTATCAGATGTTGTTCTCCTTTAAAATGGTGTGTTTCTGTCTTTAATGTCACTCATAATAAGCAGTCCCAAGGCTGAACAGCTTGTAAAACATCCTATTGCAGTCAGAAATAGTTGGCTTACGTGGCTGGGGATTGTTTGTTCCTTCCCCTCTTTGTGCTGCTGCCAACGCTGTGCTAGGCCAGACACAGCTCTGCAGCTCCTTGGGTGAGACTGTGGGGACTCATTTATTTTGGTGCTTCCCATTTTCTTCCAGTACAGATGTGTCAGTATCGGTATGAGTGGAGCTCTCTGAGGGCCTGTTGGGGGGAGGTGTGTTAGGTATGAGCAGCTTCTTTGCTCTTTTGGGATGTCTGTATTTATCTGGCTGTGCTGCTCTCTGAAATACTGAGGAGTTTTTCAGATAACAAAATACACTTTGATGAGATTTACAGATGACTTTCATTACCCACCGAAGGCCTTGTAGCCTTAGTTACTCCTGTTTCCATTTTTGGCCTTAAATTTTGATTTTTGCATTACAGTATGCTCGTGTTCCCAGTGAACTTAGTCGAGCCTTAACGAGTCATTAGAACCTTTGCACCCAGAGCAGTGATGAGATAAGACAATGCCTGCACTGCCCCCTGGTTATTGCCTTTGATATTTTATGGGAGGGGGGTTGATTAACAGAGTTAATCAGCTTTTTTCTTACCTGCTGTTGTCATTAAGGATTTCTTGCTTGTTGCTCATGTATCTTCAAGTCTAAGTCATACACCATGAGACAGATTAACTTGCTGAATGTCCCACTAAGACTGGAAAGTGCTTGCTAAGTGCATCACCTACTTTCCTGCACTCACCGAGATTAACACTTCCTTTGGAAGAGCCAGGGCAAAGATGACTTCTGCTCACACTGGAGCAAGTCTGTTGTGTATATTTTTTATTCCATTACCCAATACCAGGCTCATTATTTAAAGAACAGCTCTACTGTCTCTGGGGAGCAGAAGGATGCAATAAAAATGTTTCCTTCTCTAGTTTTTCCTGTTAGGACACTGAGGGGAGGGAAAAAGTTCCTTGAGTGCCTTATCTTCCTGCAAGCTAATGCAGCTAACTCTCTCTTTATTTTTAGTTTTGATAACTACTCTGCAAATGTAATGGTTGATGGAAAACCAGTCAATCTGGGCTTGTGGGATACAGCTGGGCAAGAGGACTACGACAGACTACGTCCACTCTCCTATCCGCAGACAGTAAGGACCATGTGAAACTGCAAAGACTCTGCACAGCTTTGTCTAGCATAAGTGTTTCCCTTTAGAACGTAAGGCCAAGTCACACCTGCAGTTGTGTTTCTTAGAACCAGTGGCTTGTTGCAAGCTATCTTCCCTCATCTTACCTGCTGGAGCTGTAATTTACAGTCTTTGATGTGTGTGCTCTTGTACAGAAGTTAAAATCGTGTGTTTGTGTTTTCGTGTGCACTGGTACTTGTTGGCTTTTGTGTAGTGGCAGCCCCAGAATTAGCAGG